ATTTTTTTAGGGTAAATATTTTATATTTTAAATATTTATTTATTTATTTTAATGTGCATTATATTTCATACATCTATGTGTTGTATTTTTTTTTAATATTTTAAATATATTTTTTAAATATTAAAAAATTTTAAAATTTTTATTTTTATTTTAAATATATAGTTTTTATTTTAAATATTTTATTTTATTTTATAAATATATTTTTAAGTATTTTATTTTTTTGTTATGCGTTTGGTTACGATTTGAATGTAGAGTTTTGAAAGTAGCGTGGAGTGTCGAGTTATGTGTTTGGTTATGAGGTTTGAAAATAATTTTTGAATTGAGTTTTGAGTTATGTGTTTGGTTACGATTTGAGTATGAAATTGTGTTTTGAGTTTAAAATATTAAAATTAAAAATTTAAAATATTTACAAAATAAAATAAAATATTTAAATAAAAATTATATATTTAAAATAAAAAATAATTTTTTTAAAATATTTTTTTAATATTTTAAAAAAATAAATCTAAAAATACTGTTCGAAACATTATTTGTTTCCTCCAAATCTTTCAATTTAAAAATATTTTTTAACGTTTTAAAAGGAAAGACAGCCTCCGTTTGGGAAGTGGGTTGGTTTTTTGGCTTTTTGACTTTTTTGGCTATTTTAGCTTGGGCTAAAAAGCTTAGTTTGGGAAGGGCTTTTGGCTTTTTCGACTTTTTTTGTGAGAGAAGAGTGTAATGATTATGGATTGAATGTGATATTTTATTTTTTGTGACTAAAATAGCCTATTTTATTTTTTGTGACTAAAATAGTCAAAAAAATCCACTTTAATTATTCCCAAACGAACCCACAATAAGGTCATTAATTATAGAAAAAATAATACCATTTGCTCCAATTTGACAAGGGAGAGAATATGAAGAATGTCAAGTAAAGTATTAGAAATTACTGTAATTATTAAAATTATAAGATAGATCATTGTATTTGTCAAAAATTTCAAAAGACATCAGTGTTAATTTACCTTAATTTAAATTACGGTATTATACACCGTGGATAACATGAATGTACTGGTGGTTAAAAATGCCAAAAAACCGAACGACAGAAGATTCTGTGCCTAGAAAAACAGAGAAGCTCTCGCGTCCTTTCTTTTATTGGGGGTTGTTTCTTTTGGGGTGTGCACTGCGCACATCGAGTAAGGAGGAGTCGTTTGAAAATAGATTATTTTAATAATTTTTTAATTTTTTATAAAAAATTATGTAAAAAAATAGAAAAGTAATGTAATTAATTTTAGTTAATTTTTAAACTTTTTAAGTAATATAGTCACTCTTCAAACGAGACCTAAATTAGTAGAAAAGTTACCATCTACAAAAGCAAGAAACAGCACTGGCATTTTCCCAAGGGTTTGGCGTTAAGGCTAAAACATTCCAAACTTTTAAATCACTGGTTATTCTTTTAAATCACTGGTTATTTATTCGGTTAAAAAGTTAACTTTTAACTTTTTAATTCATTTTAGATGGCATTATTTTTTTATATTTTTTTATACATAAAAAAAAAAAAATCAAATCACCCTAATTTAAAGGATTCAAAATTAATTAAAATGTATATAAATTGATTCAAACATCCAATTATATTAAAAATAAATAAATAAATAAACAATAGCACTAGCTTTTTTTTTGAGAACTATATAGGTGAGAGTTTAAAAAAAATTATTAACACATGAAGAAATATAAATGATACTTGTATCTCTATAATTTTTTATTTATATCTCATCCCAGACATTCTTCCACCATAAATGTGTTTATAATTTTTTTCTTCAATTTTCTCTTGCATATACGAGTTATGTTAAGAATTCTAAATATTCTATCAAATATTTTATCAAATTTCTCACATAAATATAAAATTTACACACATAAATTTGTTTGAAACTCACCCGAAGTTCAGTAAAATATTTGGTATGCATAATATTTCTCTACATATAACTTTCTTTTTTTTTAACACATCGGAAAAGGACAACAGCACTAGCATTAAATCAGAATGGGAGAGAGAGTCTGTTACAGCTTCTGTACAATCAGTATAACAATTCAAGCTTCTGTACAATCAGTATAACAATTCAATGTATACACAATAAATGCTTACATTACACCGCCCAGTAAATATGACTTGTCTCTAAAGGAAAAGGCCAAAAAAAAAAAACCCTGGAACGGGACGGGACACCCTACATTCAAGCCATATTGCAAATAAGTAAAAAGATCAACCCAAAATAAAAAAAAAATTATAAATTAATGATAAAATTTATCACTTTTAATAATTAAAATGATAATTTTTTCTATAACTTTGCAATTGTACTAAAGATCTTTCCACTGATTTATAATTTTTCCAATATTCAACCTACATAACTCCAAACATATGAACAAAAAAAATAATAAAAATTACAAGACCCCACTATACTATTGATGATAAAAACCAAAACCCATATATAGAAATATCTCAATCATACAAATCTTGAATAATTAAGGGAATGAAAAATGATTAATTGAAGATTGTCATATCCTAAGGCTAAGGGTTGAAGAAGTGGTCACCACATCTGCATTTCCAACCAAGAGGCTTGTAATTAGAATACTTGTTGTTATTTGAAGAATAAGATGAAGATGCCGAAGATATTGAAGATGAAGAGTCAAGATAGGCCGTAGGCAGAGGCAGGGTTGGTACTTGGACCGCGAGACAGGGGTGACACTGGTTGCACTTGTTGTGGCAACTGGGAGGTGTTGAACCCAATCTGGTCTTCCCTTCAAATAGTAAACCCTACACAAACCACAGCACAACACAACACAACACACCAGCCCAACTCAGTCCAACAATTATTAAACAAACACAACAAAACAAAACCAAACCCATTTATATTATGTCATTACGTATATCTATCAACAAAAGAGACACAAATAGAGAGAGAGAGATGAAGCATATTACCCGAGTCGTGTCTGAAGGTTGGTTTTGATTGGAGCAAATAACTGGAGAGAGAAGATGGATAAGTGTAATAATTAGGGTAGTGGCACATAGAAGAGATAGTTTAAGAGAATTCATGGTTATTGAAGCATTTCATCTCTTCTCCTACAAACAAAAACTAGCCGCAAAGAACAAGGGCAACATATGGAAATCCATCTGCTATTTGGAGCTTCCTCTACTAGAAGCAAAGCAAAAAAAAAAAAAAAAAAAAAACTGTCAAGAGAGAGGGATCTTGGAATAAATGAGAAGAGAGAGAGAGTGTTATTTGACCAGAATTATTTTAAGAAGATAGTTATAATTAATTTTTCAGTTAAAAATTACTTATAAACTGTTTGTAAATAATTTTTTTTTTTTATTTTTTATTATGAAAGAGTAAATGGGTTTATAAATGGATAAAAGTTTGTTTGTCTGTGAGGGAAAAGGAAGTGAAGGAGGACATGATATGATAGGAAGGGGGTGGGTGGGACTGAGTGACCACTGACTGAGCTATTCAATTAGAGAGAGAATGAGAGAGAGAGAGAGCATTGATCACAGTGAGAGAAGGCACAGTGGCAGGGGAGTGAAAAGAACAAGTCAAGAGAGAGGAAAACAAAATTTGATAGAATTGACATCAGATGGGAATGGCGCCTTTGGGTCAGTGTCCGTACACCCTACTGGGCTTCGCTATTACTAGCTTCATGGAAAGTGACAGTGTGGGTCAAATACGGAAACTTATTTACTCCCTCCGTTTCAAAATATTAATCTCTTATTTTATTTTTCATTGTCCCAAAATATTAGTCATTCTTCAAAAATCAAGTACAAAAATAATATAAATTTTCTATTTTTCCATTCTTTTAAATTAATAAACAATATAAAAAGTACAATTATTATATTGATATTCTCAAAAAATGTACTATTAAAAGGATAATTTTGGAAAATCAACTTTTTTTAAATGCAATAATTGTACTATCAAAAAAAAGTTAGATTCCCTAAAAGGGACCATTATTTTGGGACGGAGGGAGTAATATTTTCGGAATATAACGTATATACTCTCTAAGTAATTATTATTTAATTTGTTTTTTCATATTTTTTTAATTATTTAATATAATATTTTATAAAAAATATTTGATATTTTAAAATTTGATGATTTAAATGGTTTAAATTTGTCAAAACGACGTCGCTTTGAGTGATTTGAGTCATTTAAGCCACAAATTTTAAGTTACCTAGCATTGTTGATATTTTATATATCTATTTTTTCTATCAATCATAATATTATGAAATATTATATATTTATATTTTGAAATTATTAAATAATTGCTTGTCAAATACTCTGGTTGTGTTTGGCACAATGGGTTGACGTTAAGATAATTATAAAAGGATAAAATAAATTTGTTGGTAAAAATTTAATTAAAATCCAATCGATAATGATTTGATTGACAGGTTCAAATAAATTTCAAGTAAATACAAATAAAAATCAAGCTTGTGATTGAGTTTTTTACCTTAAACATATTAAGGACTTCCTTAGAGATAATTAAATAAAGAGGAAATAGAACAGAACATAATATGTATTAATTCGAATAAATTGTCACTTGTTACTAGTTACAACAACTTAAATAAGAAGAAAAAAAAAATAAAGAAATACAGTAAACGACATAAAGAAGAGAAGTGAGGGTTGGAAAAAACTACTAATTTAATCTACTCCTAAAATGTTAAGTTAAACTACTCATAAATAAACTCTTTGCGAGTGTGATTGATGATCCTCTTTATATCTCTCTTGGCCTATTTACAAGCTTAGCCACATGAGAGGAAGAGTTAACCTAAGCCTACAATTTCCTCGACATACTCATATTTCCTCAACATGATACATATCCCATCTTTGATAGGAATCATTTTGTAGATTTGGTATTTGATTTGATCTTGACTCATTGATTTTAGTAACTAACTTTCAAATTGTTCAATTGCTAACTTTCTGACCCTCCATTTAACATGTCATCATGTCACATCCTTAACATATCTGTCACGCTACGTTCGTATGCCTGTTAACAGAAATAATAATAATAAAAACAAATGTAACCAAGGTTATTCTTAAAAATAGTCTATGGCCTTAATCGAAAGACCATAATTGAATTTGGCCATAATTAATAGACCATAATCAACAGAAAAAATAAAATGTGGTGCAAACAATGCCCCTCATTTAAATGGATTGAAGAACGAAATCCAATTAAATGATTTATAAGACATTTTACCACAATCGATAGAAAATATTTTATGGTATAAACAATTCGAATTCTTGAAGAGTTATATTATATCCATAGTAATTTTTAATCTATCGTTGTCGATTTGTGAACATTCCATCTTTGGCTTTGTTGACTGACATAACAAAGAGTCACATCCCTTAAATTAAAAAATAAAATAAGTCTATGTTAGCCACATTTTGGCTAATTAAAGAGAATTCACTACATATAGCATTTTTTAACCATTGTTGTTTTTCAAACCATGTCATGAAAATTAATTTTTGGTGTGATCCACAAATCCAAAGTGGATGTTGGATCCCAAAACTCACATAATTGAATGTTATGAAAAATTCATAAATTTAAACAATGTCGAAAAATTCACATTCAATAAACGTGGATTCATAATTTTCAGTCATCTTTGGCTTAAAATCATGCCCTCCGAATGAATTTTTACCATCATTTTGTGATTTTTTTTACATTTTTTGAGAGAAGGGTTTGTTCTTATTTTTTAGACATTAACGACTTGTCACTTTGTGCCTCATTTGACAAAACATCATGCTCCCCGAATAAACCTTTACTATCAAAATTCTCAATATTTTTTTAGAGAATGGGTTATTTTTTTAATTTTAGCCATTAATAGCCTATAAAAATTCTTCAAAGTCATTTTATTTTCATGACTCGGTGTGCTAACCCTTCAAGCCACGTACCTTGACTCTTTATGAATGATTGACTCTTTAAAAATATATATATTAATCATATGAGCCATACCTTAGCTCTTCTTTTTTAGCCATGTTACATATTATTTTGGTGTGCCAATTTTGGTCGACAAACTTAAACCAATCTTTAAGTAAACACAAATAAAAATCAAGCTTTGTGATTAAGTTTTATACATTAAACAGATTAAGGAATTTCTTGGAGGTAATTAGGCAAAGAAGAGATGAAACAGAAAAGAATATGTATTAATTTGAATAAATTGTCACTTGTCACTAGTTATAAGAACTTAAACAAGAATAAAAAATTGAAGAAATACAGCAATCGACAGAAAGAAGAGAAGTGAGGGTAGGAAAAAGGTACTAGTTTAATCTACTTCTAAAATGCTAAGTTAAACTATTCCTAGATAAACTCTTTGCGAGTGTGATTGATGATTGAGATGTCTTTCTTTGTATTTCTCTTGGCCTATTTATAGGTTCAGCCACATGAGAGAAAGAGATAACCTAAGTTCACAATTTCTTCAACAAGCCCATGATTTCCTTAATATGATATATATCCCATCTTTGATATGAACCATTTTGCTGATTTGGTACTTGATTTGATCTTGGCTCATTGATCTCAACAACTAACTTTCAAATTGCTCAATTGCTAACTTTCTGGCCCTCCATTTAACATGTCATCATACCACATCCTTAACACATCTGTCACACCACGTTAACATGCCTGTCGACAGAAATAATAATAATAAAAACAAATGTAGCCAAGGTTATTCTTAAAAATAGTCTATGGTCTTAATAAACAGACCATAATTGAACTTGGCCATAATCAATAGGTCATAATCAACAAAAATAAAATAAAATGAGGTAAAGTTAAAAATTTAATAAGATAAAATATCACATATAAATCATAATCATTTCACTCTTTCTCATATAAAAGTTTAAAAAAAAAATTATCCCAAACAAAACTTTTTAACCTAAACTAAAAAAGTTAAAAAAAAAAACTAAAAAGTCTATTCACTTGCCCAACAAAGGCTGCGTTAAAAAAAATGGAGAATATTTTTTTTTTTTTTTTTTTAACATAGCTTCCACCAGACTTAAAATTCATAGTAAAGATTAAAAAATTTTGCAACAAAAATAAAGCATAATATTAAAAGACGTATGTGCTCCAAGTTTTGAACCTAGACCAGACAACGTGGGAAGGACCTGAAATACCAATAGACCTGGGGATAGCAATTTGAAACCGACCTGACGGGGACCCGTCCCCCCGACCTCGATTTGAGCGATTTTTTATCGAAAAATACTCTTGATGGGACAAGGATGGTATTAAAAAATGAATCCCCGATCAGTTTTCAGGACGGGGAAGTTGATATGTTTCCCAGCCTCGGCCTGGCCTCGTTCCAGGCCCCATTTGTCCCCGAAATAAAATTACTATTTTACCCCTCTATAGTCTATATATATATGTGTGTGTGTGTGTGTTTCTGACTTAGGGTTCCTCTCTCAGATTCTCTTCTCTCCTCTCTTCTATATTCTCTCGTCTGTGTCGCCGACCTCCCTCTCTCTTTCTTCTCCTCACCTCGGTTTCTCTTTCTCTCTTTCTACTTCGTCTCTCTCTATTTCTTATGGCCACCACCGCCGTCGTCGTAAAAGGTCTGTCTCTCTGTCTCTTCACTCCGTCTCTCTCTCACCACCATCAAACCCACTGCCATAGGCACCGTCGATCTCGCCATAAAGCCTAGTTATTGGCGTCGCTCAGATCTGTGCGAGACGATGAAGGTGTACTAAGATCTGTTAGATCTATTTTCAGATCTGTTAGATCTGTTATCTCTCTCTCTCTCTCTCTCTCTCTCTCTCTCTCTCTGATCTGATCCATATGTGATGATTGTTAGTATTGTATTGTTGTTAATGATGATTGTTGGTATTGTTGTTAAAAACATATCCTTTTTTTTTAGATTAATTTTTTTAAAAAAATTTAAATCTGTATGATATTGAAAACAGAATGTTTTCATTATAATATTGAAAACAAATTTAAATTTAATTTAAATTTGTATTGTTAAAAAAATTAATTTAATTTGTTTTAATTATACATATATTGATTTGTTGATGATGATGGAACATACTGATATATATTGATTTATTGATCTTGTGTTGAACAAAATTAAAAAAAAAAAACTCGGGAATTTTTCGAGGTCGAGGAAACCTAATCCCCGTTAGGGGACGGGGACAAGGGGTGATGGGTTCCCCCACCGGGGATCGGGGATGGGGCGGAGATTTTTTAACCTTTGGGGATCAGGGACGGAGAGTGTAATCTCTGGCCCCGCCTCGACCTGTTGCCATTCCTATAGACCACACCACCCCGGTGGTAAAAGTAAAAAAATATAAAAATATAGAGAAGCTATTCCATGCTTTCCTTCCCACTCCGTATTTATTCAATTCTCGAGTAA